AGCAATCGAAGAGGGTCTTCCTCTTACGGGAGATTTGCGATTGTTGACCTCGTTTTTTCAGAATATTTTTTTTAGGTTCTTCCTAATCCTTCACTTGAGGTGATTGATTTCTCTGTGTGGGTGAGCAGTTCTTTCAGTGTTAGATACTGAAGTTCCCGTAAGGTACGTGGGGTGCCCCACATGTCATGCTGAGCATTAATTAACACGCTGCCTTTCCTCCAGAAATCTCTGCCTGACATATATGGTTTCCCTGTTTAATCCTCACAACAGCAGTGTGTGGTACGTTAAACAGTTTGTGACTGACAATTTACACCTGGTCTCAAGTCAGCACTCCAGTCTGCATGACAGTACCTATTTCCCCTTAGTATTGTGGAGTTTCTTATCATCTTCACCTCGCTGTAACCAGTTCTGCCCACTTAAGTTTTTCCACAGATAATGATCAGTTTATAGACATCTAAAACTAAGTTATTCATAAAATTAATAGCTGAGAGGGACACATTAACAAAGCAGTAATGCCAGAACAACTGAACAATACTTATATGAACCTTGACAAGATATTAATTTTCAGTTTGCAGTAAAATTATTGTTACCCTACAGACATGCTTTGGGAGTGTCCTGTGTGACTGTTTTTAGTGTAGAGACCATTCTTTAATTTTGGTTGCTCCCTTGTTTTTAGGACATGGCTTCTTTTATAATATGGTCTGTGGCTAGTTCATATACTCAGCTTGAATTTGTGTTAGTGTTTTTCTCTTAAGGTCTTGGGAACACCACTTTATAATAGACTAGGAAAAAGGCCCGTTGTGGAAATAAATACAACGGCCTCTAGAAAGAGGCTCTGGGTGTTTGCCCCGGCCTTGGACACTCAGTGTCAATTTGCTGTGGCAACTTCAGCAGGGTATAATGACACTGAGTCCACCATTTTCTCCAGAGGAACTGATCTCTGCTACCTAAAGAACAGTTCTAATTTTGAGTGATCTCCAGCCCTCACCTGGAGATTGGCAATGATGGTTCCACAGAAGGGAATAGTTGGTTTGGAGGGTGGAGTCTATGGCTTTGTACCTGTCCGAGGTCCCACGCCTCCTGAAACCTCACCCTCTCCAGGCTCCATCCCTCACATCTCCAGGAATTTCCCACCTGGAGTTGGCAACCCTATCTCCTTCCCAGCCAACCATCAACCTACCTTTATTTCCCCCTCACTCTTCAGCTTTCCACCCCCCACACACCTGCAGCCTCTCTCTGAAGCCCTGACTGCTGCGTCACATTGGCTGTCATATGGGGGCCACCTCAGCAGCATATAAGGATACAGAGCCCACCATTTTCTCCAGGGGAACTGATCTCTGCCATCTGAAAAGCAGTTGTAATTCTGAGTGATCTCCAGCCCTCACCTGGAGATTGGACACATTTTACCTCAGAACAGCAAAACTGTTTAGAATGTTAGAGGCAAAAGCCAATCAAGTCACATATGCAAACAACCTCTGTGTTCCGAGGCACAATGAGGCTGCATATGCAAATAATCTCTGTGTTCTGACTGGCTATGGGGGGGAGTTGTTGTTGTTGTTCAGTTGCACAGTCGAGTCCGACTCTTCGCGACCCCATGGACCAGCTCCCGCCAGACCCTCCTGTCTTCCGCTGTCCTCTGAAGTTGGCTCAATTTCATGTTCGTTGCGTCGATGACACTGTTCAACCATCTCATCCTTTGCCGAATTCTGGGCCTTCCTTATGGTCCAGCTTTCGCAGCCATACATTACTACTGGGAATAACATCGCTTTGATCATGCGGACTTTTGTTGGCAGGGTGATGTCTCTGCTTTTTATCATGCTGTTTAGGTTCGCCATCGCTTTCCTCCCAAGGAGCAGGCGTCTTTTAATTTCATGGCTTCTGTCACAGTCTGCGGTGTTCTGGGATCCCAGGAACGTGAAGTCTGTCACCACTTCCTCGACTTCCCCTTCTATTTGCCAAGGAGTGATGGGGCCGAATGCCATGATCTTAGTTTTTTTGATGTTGAGCTTCAAGCCCACTTTTGCGCTCTCCTCTTTTACCCTGAGCAAGAGGCTCTTAAGGTCCTCTTCACTTTCTGCCATCAGAGTGGTATCGTCTGCATATCTGAGGTTGTTGATCTTTTCCCCAGAAAACTTAATTCTGGCTTGTGATTCATCCAGGCCAGCATTTCGCATGATGTACTCTGCATATATATTAAATAAGCAAGGTGACAATATACATCCTTGTCGTACTCCTTTTCCTATGCTAAACCAATCAGTTGTTCCATATCCGGTTCTAACTGTCGCTTCTTGGCCCGAGGATTAGCAAAATGTTTAGAATGTTGGAGGCAGGACTCAGGCAAAGCAGCCAGTGGATAGGGAGACCCTCTGAATGACAGATCAGAGAGCGAACTGATTTTGGAGTGTGTGGAATGTTCTAGAGAAGTGCCACTACCATTCGGCTTTCATTTATAAGGGAGATAAGGCTTAGGGAAGGTGTAGTATTTTGAAACAAGGAATGTCTTTATTACGTAGGAAAACTGTTGCTTTTTGTTTTTCCCCATATTTCAGTAAGGTATGGCTTCCTATCCCTGAATACTAGATGAATGTATCTCACAGTTGGGTTTCTGTTATCAAGTGGAGTGGGAGCTCATCCTCCTGGATGTTTTCATTCTGTAGAAGTGCATTCCTATTTACCCATTCTAGGAAACAATTCTCTCTAGAAGTATTTCTGTTTCCCATTTTTATCAATGCTCCTTATGTAAATACACTGTCTTTCAAGGCTGAAAGAAAGGCAGTTCCTATTGTGTCTTTCTTTCATAATCTGAACTTCTTTGTAGTCTTAGGAGTAGGTGATTGGAACACATTATGTGTAGGGTTCCCTCTGTCAAGTCATTAATGCAGGGATTGCAGTTGCCAGTTTTGGAAAACCTCTTTCTTCTTTTTCATCCCATCAAAGGGTTGAGCCCTTTTCTTCCTATCAAAACTATTCAGCTGGGTGCCTCCATTCGTATGTCAGAAGGAATTAGAGCTAGTTTCAAACCAGGAGTCTATTTATACTCTGTGTGCTAAGGAAGAACCAAACTGAACATGCAGCATATGAGAAATAAGTTGTGTTAGGCCTGTTGCAGAAAACTGTGGCTTGCTATGATATCTGAATGCTTTGCTTACGTGTTTATATAGAGAATGTAATATAGGAAAGGTTATATGCATGTTTGCATCTGAATATATGCATTATAAAAACTTGATTAGCTTCCAAATATGTGTCAAATGCAATACAAAAATATTTTATTTTATTTATTGGGATTTTTACCCCGCCCTCCCCGTGAAACGGGCTCAGGGCAGCTTACAAGGGGCAAAGCTCATATAAAACAGGATAAAAGCAATAAAAACATTAATAACAATCACAAACAACAATGATACTCAATTGAAAGCTGGATGGTCCCCGAATATATGCAATGATGGTAAACAGACAGTTCTCTGGGGATGATGATGTCCTATAGCTGATCCCAAGCAAGTAAGTCCGGTGATATCAGTCGCACGAAATTGTGGCAGATCTTCCCGGGCCATCCTTAACCCCGAAATATGTTTCAGTTTGACTGTTATGATAATATATACATTTCTTTATACATGAGCATGAACCTCTGCCCAAAGCATACAGTATTTATTGGTCTTTGCTTGCATGCAAATGTATTTTAGATTGTTATTTTTTATGTTTAAGTAGGTTTGCACATCACAGAAGTGTTGTGAGGCCAAGTTGCTCCTGTTAATTGCTTAGAAGGTGGTCAGGTGCGATCAACCTTAAGTATAATATAATCTCCAAAATTCTCTTTGTTTTTGTCATACATATTCCCAGCATTCTGACACACTAGCTTGACTAAAATGGTACATAAGGCAGAGCTGTGCAGATGACGGTGTAGAGTTATATGCAAATGGAGGTGGCTAAGCTCCCCCACTCCTCCACTTGCAGCGGCTGGATGACCTTGGGCAAGCCATAGTTCTGTAAGAGCTGTTCTTGAAAGAGCACTTTCTGTCAGACCTCTCTCAGCCCCATCTACCTCACAGGGTGTCCATTGTGGGGAGGGGACGGGAGGGGAAGGGAAAGGAGGTTGTAACCCGTTCTGAGATTCCAAGTGAAGGGTGGGATATAAATCTAATCTTCTCCTCCTCTCACTGATTCCCATTGAATTCTGTGATACAAAGTAAATGGATTTCAATGTAGATGTAGGACATGATCAAAGGGGAGGAAAGCTTCCTGATTTTAGACACTCAGATCATTAAACAGATTTATTCCACACTCCATTCCCTTTGTGCATAGTTTTATTTCTCTCTGTTTTATCAATGGCTGCTACTTTTTCCTATGGAGAAAAGTGAGTACTGAAGTTACAGATTAGGGATGGGCATGGACCAGAAAAATTGAGGTCCATATAGGTTCACGGTTTGTGGGTTTCACAAACTACGAATTTTCATGACCCGTATGCTAGAGATGCCAAACTCACAATGATTCTCCAGCTGACTCTCCTCTACCTGCCCTCCCAAGTTTGGTGAAAGTTGGATGTGGGGGGCCGAGTTACAGCCATCCAAAGCAGGTGCCCCCAGGAAAGTGCTCTTTGGGGAAATCACAGCTGCAGGTTCAGGAGTGTGTAGAATAGACCCCTTGCAAGCTAGGGGCATCAAGCTTGCAGAGGACCTCCCTGGGGTGCCCCTCTACCTGCCCTCCAAGTTGTGTGCAGATTGGTTTTGGATTACAGCTCATTTCCAGATGCAGTCTGCTCCCATAGAGCAGAATGTGAGCTCTCTTATTGGCAGCCAGAGCTGGGTTCAGGAACAGGAAGAGATGCTATTATTTTTACTTGATTGCTTGAGTTCCAGCATTTAGAACATTGTTGCGGTCTGACTTGGTCAGGAGAATAACAGGGATAAGAATTAGAATGTGTATACTTGATATTTTGACAACATCGACAAATAATGATTTTTTCAAAATTTGAATGTTTTAATCCTACCTGGTTTATGTACTCTTTCAGGATAAAGCAAGATGAATCAAGAAAAGCTGGCTAAACTTCAGGCTCAGGTCCGAATAGGTGGAAAGGTATGAATAGAGGGATATATTATTTTGCATTTACAAAGAGGCATTATCTTCCATACTTGCAGGTTTTGATGAACAATACTGTTTTCAACAGGCCTACTGTCCATTCTGATGCAGACATGCCTTATAACATGCCTGTACCCAGCATAGTCACAATAAATGTCCCATCAATTGAGATCTTCGTCTGAGAGCCTTCTCCAGGAAGGGGGGGTGCTTTTGGAGGTTAAAGAAGTGGCTGTCAGAGCAGACATTTCCTGTGGTGGTGCTCTGGTTGATAATTCCCTGCCGAGGAAGATGTGCCTGGAACCATCTTCATTATCTTTTAAGTTAAAGGCATTTTGTTTTCCCTAGTCTTTAATGGTAAGTGATGTTCATCTGGGTGATTTCCCCCCCCCCCTTGGTAATCTTATAATAATATGATGATATTGTCTTTAATCATGTGACTTTGTAAGCTATGAAGGCTGTTTTAGAGGAAAGGTGAGATGCAATTTTTAAAAATAAATACGACACATTATAATAGTTTTAGGCAACCTTTCAGTCTTACCTTTTCATGTTCTGCTTAAAAAGTAGATGGCAAAAATGGAATTGGTAGTGTAGCTGTCCTAACAGCTGTAGATACATTGAGACATGTGATCATTCATCTTCACTTGGCCTCCATTCTCTCACATGGAACGTTTGGTGCAATGAAGCCATCCTGTCAGTTATTGAACATGATAGGCAGCACTGGTGACCTGCAGTTCCCTTTTCCTTCATGTAAATTGGATGCAGTTAGAAAATCTGTTGCTATATAGTCTTACTAAATCCCATACCACAATAAATATGTTTATCTTTAAGATGCCACAGGATTGTTATACTATTTGATAAGCAGATGGGACAGACTTACTCATTTAAAGTGATGCTAATTTTTCTCATGTTGTTTGTTTCAGGGTACAGCTCGTAGAAAGAAGAAGGTAGTTCATAGAACAGCAACAGCTGACGACAAAAAGCTTCAAAGTTCCCTCAAAAAGTTGGCAGTAAACAATATCGCTGGCATTGAAGAGGTACATCAATGTAAACCATTTCCCAAAAGCTTTGTTCTTTGATTTATGTAGCAATCAAATTCAGTGCTTCATTTTATTTTAAATACAGAATAGGGTTATCCAAATGGTCTCCTGTTAGTCCCTCCCCCCAGCTGTTTTATCTGGCCCGCTCTTAGCAATTCTAGTGATATTTAATCAAAGTGCGGTACAAACTTTGCTGATAGATACACTTATAATTAAAAATGTTTTTAAGTATTGTAGGGTTGGTCCAAGGTGTTACCAAGTCATGAACCACTTTGAAAGGTTGAGCTGGACAAGATTCAGGGGATGCATTGTTGGCAGAGAAAAAAAAGTTTGCTAATATTGTTACCACCTCATAGGCCTGAAAATGCTATGTCTGTTTCATCCTGAGCCTTCCACTAATGTTGCTCTAGTCATCTTCCAGTCTGCTTCATGCCACCGTGGTGGAGAGACCCAGTGGGATGTACTGGTTAGAGTGTGTAAGATCTGGGAGGCCCAGGTTTGATCCCTCACTGTGCCATGGAGACTTTCTGGGTGACTTTGGGCCAGTCACAAACTCTCAAACTAACCTACTTGACAAGGTTGTTGTTAGGATAAAATGGAGGAGAGGATCGTGATGTAAGCTGCTTTGGATCCCCACTGGGGAGAAAGGTGGTGTATAAATGAAGTAAGCAAATTTTATTTACTGTGTTATTTATTCCGTGGTTTACCAGGGAGTTTGAGGGCATATGAGAATGTGGGAAAGGCTGTCAAGGAGCAATCCTGTTTATGGTCTCAATCAGCCCATAATTGCATGCAGCTACGGGGCCTCCACAGTGAGCAGAGGGCTCTCAAAATCCCCCAGATCCTCTTGGAAACTGACAGGATCAATTAATTTGTGAGGATGGACCATTCAGCTCATTCACAACTCCTGTGGAGAGGAGGCAGCAAGTTCAGCTGTGCCTTCAACAAGGGTAGAACCTGCAGTCCCTCTAATGACATCACTAGCAAGCTGCCTAGTACAGAAAAGAAGTTCTGGCATATGTCCTTTTTATGTTTGGGGCCCCATACAGCCTGAGGCAGCTCCATGGTAGGTGAAGGATGCCAGTTGTGCCAAGCTGATGACATCAAATTCAGCCACCCAGATTAGTCAAGCAACCCAGCTCCACCTGTTCCTCATACCACTGTTAAAGGTATCTTATTTTTCATGGACCTGGTATTGCACAACATCAGGGTCAAAGGACTTGCATATGGAACTCTAAAAATCCAATGGCCATTAAATACTAACATTTTTATGTCAGATTGTGTAAGATTCAGATAGGGAGTTTGAATATTTTATGTCAGTAAGGTTTATACAGCTGCAAAAAAATCACTTGTCGCACAGAAGACAGTAAGAAACTCATGTAGGAACATGATTTTGAGAGACAGACAATAATTTAGATACAGACCAATGTTGGGGATGCTCAGCATAATTACTTGGGAGCAAGTTACTTTGTAACAACTGTACACTTCCTTCCTAAGAGTAATTGTTATACATTAAAATAACTGAATATCTGCATGAAGCTCTGAATGTAGGAATGGAGAGTAATCATCCACTCTGCTTGGTAATTTACAGTGCCATCCTAAGCAGGCTTACTTAGAATTCTATCAAAGTCTATTTAAACAGGGCTTACTACAAGGGAAGTGTTCTCAACATTGCACTTTTACTGAGCAGCTCCAAGCAAAATTACACTGAGCCTACTGACTTCAATGTACTTAGAAGGATGTTATGTCTGTTTAAGATTAAACTTTCAAGCAGTTGCTTATATCAGCTGTTGGAAAAAACTGAAAAGCTGCTTACCCTGCTGGATCATGTCTGTTGCTGAACTAAAATTTGGCTCACACCAGAGGAGTATGTGATACTAGTGCCCTCTATTAAGATCAGGGTGTGCCAGAGTAGTAGTACAGGTCGCTTTGACATTGTGGTGCTTTGTGTTCAGGCAGTGCAGTAAAGAGACATTCTACCAGATTTGATTGCAACCTAAAATAATAGCCAAATTACACAACTTAAACCAACCTGCTTTGGTGGGGAGGGCAAGGTATAAATCAAATAAATAAATTCGAAATTAGTTCAAAACTTGGATGTGTTCCCTCCCACTGAATTCTAATTTTGCAAATGGTGAAAATTCTTTGTTAAATCTGTTTTTTTCACAGAGTGGGGAGGTGAGAAAGGTCCACTTTGTGTTTGCAAGACTTTGCTATAAAGCATGGAGGTTTTTCTGACATTTTCCAAAATAGGTAGTATTCATTAAAAATTATAGGGATCAAGATTTTGTGTTGTGTGCTATGCATTGTTCAACTAATGCAAGGAGTACTTCCTTTGGCATGAGATTTCTACCTACTCCCCCTTCACCAACCCCCCAGGTGAAGGATTTTAGTGAGCACAGCAGGCTGCAGCAGGAAGGGGGACATAGGGAAGTTTAATTACATGAGGGCTGGGATTAAGAGACAGTCCTTTGCTTAAATTTTTAACTGTGATAAAATCATCTGCAGCTTCGATTATGTGTTAAACTGGATACTGATTGCATTGAAAAATCTTATATTCATAGTTTATCTGTATATTTTGTGCATTTAACAATAATATATATAAATTCCATTTATTTTGATTTTATATGAATGCTCACTGTTCCAAAATTAATCTTTGATAGTACTTTTGGTTATGCTAATTCATTTGGGAGTTATGAGTACTAATAGATCTATGTTTAAACAGGTGAATATGATAAAAGATGATGGAACAGTTATTCATTTCAACAACCCTAAGGTCCAAGCTTCACTCTCTGCAAACACATTTGCAATTACTGGTCATGCTGAAGCCAAACCGATCACAGAAATGCTACCTGGCATCTTAAGCCAGCTGGGTGCAGACAGCTTAACAAGTCTCAGAAAGTTAGCTGAACAGTTCCCAAGGCAAGGTAGGTACCTTTGTTTGAGAACACGGACCACTGCAGATCTTGAAACACATAATTTCTGTTGTTTATTTAATAAATTCATTTCTTGGTTTAATAGACACATTTGGCTTTGTAAATTTACTTCTGTCACATACCTAGAGTTTCAAATAATATAGAGCAGCTAAAACTAAAGTCAAGACTTATGTCAATATTACCCTAACTTGGCAAGAACTCTCTGGGTGCCTTGTTTTGTGTTTTCATTTGTTATGTCATTGATGTAAGCACCATCATCCTAATCCAAATTCACAACCACAGCCTTATTTGTTAAATGTTTATTTCATATGGTCCTCTTGCTGTTTCCCCACTTAAAGTAGCCCAGGTGGCATCAAACAGAGTCCCTGACTCCTCCGTTCTAGTGGAATAGTCTGCTTGAGGAGATGTGTGGTTGCTGTCTTTAGGACTTTTCAGAGATGCTGTGAAGTTACTTTATTTGCCAAGGCTTTTATAATTGTACAGACTTTGGTGACTTGCCAAAGCCTGCTCAGCAAACTGGACTTATTTATTGATTATTTTATTATTCCGACTTTAAACTTAAGTCCTCTGTATCTGTTTTACATTAGGGATTTGCATTTGGAAATAAAACAAAATCCAGTCTGAAATTCCTCAATTATTTAAGATAACTAAAATGCCTTGATTATTTAATTCCAGGTGGTCAGCTGTGTTGGTCTGAAGCAGTAGTGCAAAATTAGACTCCAGTGGCACCTTTAAGACCAACAAAGGTTTATTCAAGGTATGAGCTTTTGTGTGCAGGGCACACTTTTTCAAATACATTGGAATGGTGTGTAAGGTTCACACTTATAGACAGGGAAATTAAAATGTCCAAATAGCAGATAAATGTCCAAAGGTGTCTTTTCTAATCGTGGGAAGCAAACCAAGAATATCCATTCTGTCCTCCCAGGTGTGAAGATGACTTAACAGCACTTTTTGAGGTGGATGCAGGGTCTTTTCTGAAAAAGAAAAACACTAAATAAATCAGTAGCTGTTTTATTACAAAGGAACTTTTAAGAACAGAACGGAAAGGGAAATTGCTGAATTATAAGTTATTACAACAATTGGAACAAAAACCTCCCCAGGACTCAACAGGGATATTGGTTTCTTATCTCATTACACATACCAACTCATTCAGTCCTCATATATGTATTCTCAACAAGGACTATAAATCCTCTGTATTTTAGTGTTTTTCCTTTTTTGAATAGTATATTAGAATACCGAATGTAATGACAGGAATATTGGGATGTTTTGCTGACATGACCCTGCATCCACCTCAAAAAGTACTAATGTCATCTTCATGCCTGGGAGGACAGAATGGAGATTCTCGGTTTGCTTCCTACAATTAGAAGAGACACCTTTGGACATTTATCTGCTAGTTGGACATATTTATTGCTTTATAGCTGTTGACCTTATAACTTTAGATTGTTATTTTGGACTTTGCATATTTTAAACATCATCATGTTACATGTTAATTTCCCTGTCTATAAGTTTGAACCTTACACACCATTCCACTGTATTTGAAAAAGCGTGCCTTGAACATGAAAGCTCATACCTTGAATAATCCTTTGTTGGTCTTAAAGGTGCCACTGGACTCTAATTTTGATTATTTAATGTAACTTAACTGGTCACTAAAACTAATGACATTTGTTAACCTCCCTGAATTTTTGACACCTCACTGTCTACTTTTCAGTTTCACAAGCCAAGTATAGGAAGCAGGAGAAGCAACAAGGGGAGAAGGTGACTCTATATAATCTAGATGACACAGTTACCTTCCAACCAGAACAGTTAGCAGATGTTCCCACCATTCGTACTGGTTTGGGGGATGTGGGCTTTCTTGATTCTGTATAAGCTGTGGACTAGTTGCTTGCTCCATTGTAGTACAGTGCTGCCTACTCAGAGGCAAGTGTTTTGCTTGTACTCTTTGAAGGCCTTCCTCCTGTATGTTAGCGATCAGCAAGGATCAGATTTGAGATCACTATTTCAGCTTTGTAGTTTCCTAATACAAATCTCACCACACCCATCCCCTGCTGCTGTTAACCCAATAAGGTAAAAAGGCTGCAACCACAAATAATAGAAGTGAGATGGGGAGCTGTCTTTTTAAAACAAAAGGAGAGCGCATGAAAAAGAAAATATCTCATTATTGCTCTCTCCCATGCCTTATTCCAGTGTTTGAAACATTTTTCTCTCGATCCTGCTCACTTCCAGGATTGGAGAAAAATGTTTCAAACACCAGTAATGTTTGAGATGGAGTGGGGTTTAACTCCCCTTTATCCTCATGTTCTGATTTTGTTTAAAAACAGACATTCATACTTACATCAAGGATCTTGGAGAAGGAGGGTAAAACTTGCACAACAATTCCGGCATAATTTGTAAGATAAAAGGAAACTTGCTGTTTGAATGAACTAGGGAAATTATTTTTTGTACTTAAAATATTTATCTGTAGATAGATATGGAAGGCCTGGGGGTGAGGAAAGCAGAATTTCTTTGGGGGGGGCATATTTCTGAGGAGGGCCTTTTCTGATAATGAAGTTTTGGGGAGCGCTGGGGAAAATGCCTGCTTTTTTGTTGCTGCTGCTTTGGAATGAATGGGATGAAAGACAAGCTTTTACTCAAAATATATATTATGGATTTTCTTACATAAGACAGTCTACAACATTATTCCTGTATATTCATGTACAACATTTTCAAGAATATTTTTGTTTAAATACTTTTGGCAACCATTAATATGCTATAATGTGTTTAATGATAATACATTATTCAGTGTTGTCATTGTTATACCATCCAATTATATTGGTACTCCTACGTATTGAGACTAGGGGGTGGTCATGGACTGAAAAAATGGAAGTCCATGGAGGTTCGTTGTTTGTGAGGTTTATGAACCATGAACATGGACTTTCCTGTTTAACTGATCATGTAATGGTTCATTAGGTTCATGAATGGAAGGCATTCAAAATGCCCTCCATTTGCTGAGTTGTGTGCACGCTGCTGTTGCGGCACACCTCAGGGAGTGAAGGGAAGATAATCCCCCCCTCCCCCGTTGCCTTGGGAATCCTCAGCACCAGCGTGTCTGGCCACCACCCCTATAGGGGGTGGTGGTCTGGCTCAGGGACCGCTCCCATGGACTGCACAAACCCATGGAAAACATGGCAGTCTGTGAGAGATGTGATTGCATGGACCGAGTCCTGGTCCATGACAAAATTTGGTCCGTGAGCCAGTCCATGCCCATTCCTAATTGAGACTATATTAAAGTGCTTTTGTCCACATAATACACTTTCTCTTGTTTACTGTAGAATTTATTTTGTACCTTCAACTCCCCCCCCCCCACCTCTCAGATAACAAAAACTAAACGCCTTGTCTTATAGTAGTGTAGGGTGCATCAGTTTGCAACTCTTTCTCAAGTATTTTCTTATAAAAAAACAAAGACATTTATACTTTAAAATTCATAAATGTGCCAAATAGTACAATTTTCTCTGCTAACTAAGATTTAAATGTTGCATTTTAGGTATATCACTGAAAGAAGCTTAAGTTTAGAAGCAGTGTCATTTCAGTTTTCCAAAGATTTCTTCATTTTTTTCTGGAAAGCCATTATTTATTTTTTAAAAACATTTCTCTGCTACCTTTTCACTCAAATAGGGACTGCAAGGCTGCGAGCATTAAAAGGTGAAGACATTAACACAGCATTTAAAATATGTGTATATAAAATATTTTAAAAATTCAGTAAATCATAGAAACACACAAAACAACTTTCACCATGGAGGAGGGCCAATAACAGTTAGTGTGGGAAATGACAAGCAAAACAAAAAGCCTTCATCCACTGGCAGAAGACAATGATAGAATTTTTTTCTTATGTCTTCAAAATTTCTGGGAATTTTACATCTCTACTTTTAGTGTGTTTAAAGTACCACATAGATAATTAAATCCTGGGCTGTTTTGTATTTGCGTTGGAATGGAACTATTTAATTGGGCAGCACAGCAAGAGCTGCAATATTTTTATATTGTCATTTTATTCTTTTGGAACATATAGTAGAATTACAGGTTGTAAACTTCATAATGGTCCCTGCAGAAATAGGTGTTAGTCTGGTACAATTTTGGTCTCAGATTATCCCACAAATAGAGCTTCCTTGTTTAAATATGGAGACTCTATTTATGGGATAATCTGAGGCCAAAATGGTACCAAACTAATATTCTCCCCTTTTGACATTCTGATGGGCTAATGCCAAGCATGAATATCATATCCAGTTAGACCAAATTATGCACTTCTATTTACCAGCCAGGCATCACCCAAAGATCAGTGGGAACCTTAGCCCGTTCCCAGTGCTGATCAACAAGGATTGTTTAGGCTATCCATGCCGGTGTGAGATGGAAGCTGTAACTGCTGCTAAACAGATCGAAGTGCCTGGGAATGGGGCACTATGTTGACCACTTAGTGGTTATAGCTGCTACCTTATGCCTGTGCAGGTTTAGACTACCCATCAGAGTGATAAAAACCTGCAGGAAGAAATGCCTCCTGTGTAAGGGGACTGAATTAACATTAGGTGCCTTTGTATGAGCGGAAGTAGGGAAGTTGGTGGTTTTCCCATGCAAGTTGCATCTTCTGATACTACATCTACAGTGTCCTTGAGTAGCAGCTTTCCAGAAGACTGTAGAAGACAGGAAAAGTCTGTTCATGAGTGAAGCTCTGCTTACATCCAACCCAGTGCTTCCTAGTGCTTTGCCACTTTTGTGTAACAATCTGCCTCTTTGAGTCCAGGGGCACGCTTAAGACGAACAAAGTTTTATTCTGGGTATAATCTTTTATGTGCATGTATACTTCTTCAGATACATTGAAGCATGTGTGCACATGAAAGCTTAAAGGTAAAGGTTCCCTTGCTCGAAAGCCAGTCGAATCCGACTCTAGGGTTGCGGTGCTCATCTCTGTTTCAAAGCCGAAGAGCCAGCGCTGTCCGAAGACGTTTCCGTGGTCATGTGGCCGGCATGACTAAACACCAAGGCGCACGGAACGCTGTTACCTTCCCACTGAAGTGGTACCTATTTATCTACTTGCAATTTCTTGCTTTCGAACTGCTAGGTTGGCAGGAGCTAGAACTAGAGATGGGAGCTCACTCCATCATGCGGAACCCGGGTCTCGAACTGCTGAACTACTGACCTTCCACAGCCTGCAGTTCAGCGTCTTAACCACTTGAGCCACCGCAGCTCCAACATGAAAGCTTACACCCAGAATTAAACTTTGTTGGTCTTAAAGGTGCCCCTGGACTCTAACTTTGGTCTGCTGCTTCAAACCAACATGGCTGACCACCCAAATCTATCTGCTTTTTTGCAAGTTTGCCCTTATGTGTTGTACTATAAACCATAATCTTTTCTTCTGGGTGGTCTCTTCTTTTGTAATGAAATAATTCTGTTAATTCCACATATCGATTAAAATAATTTTATTTTACAGTGTTGGATAGTAAAGTACCAAAATCAGAAGATATTGATGAAGAAGACGATGACGTTCCGGGTAGGATTCTTTCACTTAACCTAGATAGCATGGAAGCTGCTTGAAATTGCATTCATATGGCACCTTATGTTGAGCTGTTCATATCCAGAAGCATACCATGCAGATTAGCCCCTACTATAGTGTGCCTGTGCAAAACATTGATGTTGCTGGTTTGAAGTATTGTGGGGGAAATTATCTGCAGGAAATAACTGACAATTTTTGTCAATCACTTTAGTCAAGAATTTGTACTCTAGTCCTCATAAATTGATGTTTAATGTAAACCATTGATTCCCTGTCAGAATTATCCTTTAAGAACAAGGAAAGTCTGGGAGCAATGGTATTGAAGTAATCATTAGAACTGGCTGCTAATGATTGTATTTGTTAGAAAATCTTTAATTATTCAGAGATGTTGGATTTTGTTGGATGTAGAAGTAAGTGGTTGGTTCACTGTTGAGCCATTGAGCCCATTCACACAAACACACTGTAGCTGGAATGTTTTTCAGATAACGTCCCAAATTGCCATGTATTTTGTACATTGTTGGTGAACAAGTAGTGGATTTTGGAAACATGGGATCCTATCAGAAGGATCAACACTTGCGAGAGGACGGGCAATTCCCCAGTCCTGCAGCAATTTGCCAACTCCTCCTTCATGTTGCTCCTGGGAGTCCCCTGCCCCTCTGGACTACTATTTTAGGTCGTGGGGAAGTCATGTTCCATTCTCAGAAATTAGATGGATCCAAGCCACATAGTATTTGCTAATCGCTGTGGAGAAATGTGTGGTTGCTAAATTGAAGTGGTTAGGTCAGTTTTGTGGAATAGCTGAACATAGTCTGCCTAATAAATGTCCCATTGTCAGATGCCAATAATTGAGAGGCTATGACTGTGTTCCAGTGCTGCCATGGTATAACTGCTGGTTATAAAGCCATCAATTAATGTTAGGCACTAATAAACAAAATGATTTTTTAATAATTATACTTTTGAATAAAAATAATCATGCAGGGATTATATTCATGATATTATAGGCTTCAAAGAGAAATATTATTAAATATGTTGATTTGGCTGGTGAATGCTAACTGTATTAAATATTTCTGTCTTTCAGATCTTGTAGAAAACTTTGATGAAGCATCAAAAAATGAAGCTAATTAATTCAGTAATAGTTCTGGAAGTTGACATGGACTAGATTTAAGAAATCAGCTGTGTGGTTCCAAAGTTTTACAGAAACAGCGAACATTACCCGTTTAATAGTACAATAATATAAAATACTTTGTATTTTAATTATGCTGTTTGTTCAGCATTTCCTGTCAGTTGATTTTTGCATTTTGCACTTACACCCAGGATCAACCTTTTTGGTAAAAAAGAAAAAAAAGATTTTCAGTACAGATTAAAGGAGATATGCATGTGTGTGGATGTATGTATGTGGCTTTACGTGCAGTGAAAGGGAAATTGGAGAACAGTTCTATTTGACTTTCCCCTCTCCCTCTAAAGCTGAAATAAAAGAAGTCTTTAACTTGGTTAAAGTAATTTTTCTTATTCCAATCAGACAGTTCACATAAGTAGTGAAAAGTGAGTCTTTCTTGTCCACATTTCATGAACTCCAGATATTGCTTATTAATTGAGTTTAATTTCCTGTGTTAACAATTGTATTTGCAAATGTTTTTCTGTTCCATATTGACAGTGTATACATAAGGCTTCCCTTCGGCCTCCTTTTGATTTTAAATTGTACCAAAGACAGGATATTAACAAGCCTGTTTGTTGCAACATTTAAATATATATATATATACTTAAATTCTTTTTTTTTCCTTTTTAAAGTGTTGCTGTTATTTACCCTTAATACTGAACTTAAATTGCATTCATATATTAGGGAAAACCCACTTTCTCTTAGATAAAGCACCACCATGAAATCCTGCCTCTTTGACCTGAGTGAGTGCCACCCCTGCACCTGTGTCGTGACTTCTCTTAATCTCTGTAAGAGATCATTGTCATGCTTGTACAGTGTTGCTAGGAAAAGGCCGCAATACCAGTAACTGATTAAAAAATTGCAGTCAGCTTCTACTCGCTGAAAATCGTGTGCATGTTAAAGCATAGTGCTGGATCCTACTACCTTGTGGATTGGATCCTGCAATCTGTCAGCAGAATCTGCTGAGACTGTGGATTTTCCCAGCATTCTTCCTGCCTCCCTGACCTTGGGAAATTTTTCCTAGGGTCATGGGATCCACATGGACAAGCACATGGGTGGGGAGGGGGCCTGCAGTGTGAAAGAGGAGGGGGTGAAATGCTTTCTGCCTCTTCGGTTAGGTGAGAGGGCACCTTCACCCCCTTTCCCCTCCCCATTGTATCCTCCCAGGCTGAATGGCTTTTATAAATTTTCATAGCATCAGACAGGACTGCTTGGGGGCAGGGAACACAGGAAAGATCCATGATCCCTGTTTGATGCTTGATATAATTAGCCATATTTCAAGTTGAGCACTCTTCAGAGTGCTGAATACTGGTTGATTCGTTTTATCTCAGCTCAGCAAACAGCTTGTTTTCCTTTTGACCTGTGGATACATTTTCCAGCAGTATTTCACTTTTGAGAGTAGTACACTGTCAAGTGTGCTCAGATGTTCACTATGAAATAGTGCATCATTCTGCACAGTTGGATCAGTTTGCTAAAAGACGTAACAAATCTAATATGTTAATGAATCTCCTGAGAGCTTGTGAACTGCCGTCTTATTCCAGGATGCCAGTATCTAGTAGAGTAATCTGGGAAATAAAATGAACAAGGAAAAGGCAGTTGGTTGTTGCTTCCACTGCCTTAAGAGGCTTACAGTGCAGCCCTATGCACAGTTACTCCTGTCTGAACTTTCAGTCAAAGACTTCAGTGGGTTTTGACTAGAGCAAATATGCATAGGATTGCATTGTTAGGACATAAATTGTGAGGATTATATTTTATTTTACTTGCAACTGCTCCAAGTTGGATATAATGGTTACAGTCACACTTAAATATAGAAGCTGTGCTCTCCTATACAGAGGATACTGATAGTGTCACAGGGTCCGCTGCAGTATTTTCAGAACCTTCCTTCAAAATGCTCAATGTGATGCTCTTCTCAGAGGTTCTTCAAAGGTGCTTGATGTAATTTTTGTAATTGAGCGTCATTGCTAACTTTGTCATGGGCAATTATGGCTTGGGAAAGTCATCCTCATTTGGCTTCCTTCTGAAACATATCCGCTTTCTCTGTAGATATGTACACCCATTGACTAAATGTGAGGCTATCAATATGTCAGCATTCTAGTGACATCAATCTGAACCACGAAAGCAGAGCTTGTAGTGGTTTGTCATCTGGACTGCTCACTTGATTTTATAGACTTGTTCAGTTTTCTTGTTCTATTTTATATAATACATGGATCTTAATAAAATAATGGAAAAGAGGCAATGCTCCCTCTTGTGTGTCGTTTCCTTCTCCCCAAAATACTGAGAGAGAACAAAATGTGAATACAGGTGATGCTTTAACCAGCAATACACTTGTAATGCTACTTTTTTGACAGAAGTAGGGAGCAGGGTAAATGTTCTACCAAATCAAAACCTAGAATTTCTGTAATCCCACATTGTTCTATTAATCCCAGTTTTCTTTTAGATTTCAGGGCAAGCATTTGGGAATGTTTTTCTTTTCCATACTGCTAAAACTACTCAAATGTCAGCTTGTTTAATGAGGGTTTATTCCTTTTCTGTTCATCCATTCAAATGCTAGACACACTGCTTCAGCATGAGACATCAAACTAACATTTACTAATACTTTTGCCGAGAGCTTGCATTGATTAATAAAATTAGCAGACATGAATTAGGTTTGAAAACCATTCTCTAAAAGATGGGGAAGGCAGTTTTTACTGGTAGCCCCCTTCACCTCCATGCTGTTCCTGGTAGTCCACAGATAGGGGGCATAGAAGACTGCAGCAGGAAGGGACAGGCACAAAAGTTACCATTTCGGTAGCATAGCTTTGCTTACAATGCTTAAAATTCAGGTTGTACCTAAAAAAACACAAAAACCTTCATTTCCTGTCTAATAAGTCTAAAATTAGTTACTTCAAGATACCGAAGGATAGGAATCTGAATCAATACAATTGTTTACAAAACACTTCCCAAAATTCCAGATATGAATTTTTCATTTGTCAATTCATTTGTAACTTTACACTTGGAAATTAACAAGCTAACTTGCATCGTCGTGTGTATTTTCCTGTATGCAAAGAACTGGTGACCACTTTTGATTCCAGTATGATAGCTTACAGAAATCCATTCAACTGTTGGTAACTGAATGTATTTAAATCATTTTTAGCCCATGCCTAAAAAAGATACAAGGTGGGTTACAATTACTTTTAAAATACACCAGAAGAAAACAATAGAGACCTATATAGAGCAGAGATTTAAACAACTTCAGATAATCGAAAAACCTTTTATCTGCTGGAATGTTGTACTGCTGTCAAACTGCTAATAATCTGTAGGTCTTCCTCACCTGCAGAAGAAGGCCCTTTCATCACTCAGGAACCACTGTTGAGAAAGCCCTGGAGTGGGCAGATGCTGCCTGGATGTTGGTGCACATCCTTAGTCTGAGTTAAATTGCTGCCGAGAAGTACAGTGGGAGAGACACTCCTGAAGATATGTGGGTTCTAAGCCATGAAGGGCTTTATAGGCCATAACCAGTACCTTGAGTTGTCCCTAAATGGTGTAACCAACAGTTTCCTGGGACATACCATCAAAACAATTCCTCCAATAGTCCTACATTTCATCTGTACAAGATAGTAAATTAAAAGTTCAGTGTGTGGTGGTGATAGTATTTCTTGATTTGTTCATGTCAAATATTTGAGTAAACAATTTGTAAACCACATCTAATTATTAAATAGCAATGTACTGGCTCTGATAACTGTAGCATCTCTAGAGGTTAAATATTAAAGTGATTCATTAAAACATAAATTATGTAGCACTGACAGCTTTTATTTATTTTAAAAATTATCCTGCCTAAACTCTTTAGACCCAAGGTGGCTAACAATGCAACAAGCTGCAAGGTCCCAAAAGCAACACAACAGTCCATTAACAAGATAAAAACAATTCAAAGATAAAAAAAATTCAGCCCAATTTGCCAGATGTTTACCCACCAAATGCCCTCTGAACTAAGATTGCCTTCTTAAATGTGAGTGAGCACCTTTCACACTCATTTAGGTGAGCCATAGCAGAGGACTGGACAAGTAACAAAACTCCCCTCACATAACTCATCAAAGGACCATCCTGAGTCACACTAGTAAGAGTATCTGAAGGATTTAGCTGGCACATTGTTCAAAAAGTATAAGGGCCTAGGCCTTGAAGGGTTCTGAAGGCAATAACTAAGATCCTGAATTGTGACCAGAGCAAGTATGTGCAATTGACATGACAATGGAGTTGCATGTTCTGAGTGGCTGACCCCAGAAAGGAGTTTCTGCGGCATTTCATATCAGTTGAAGGTTTGGGGAGTTCCTTCAAAGGCAGACCCAAAAGATGGTGTTACAGTAGTCCAATATAGAGGTTACAGTATATATAAAGGAATAGTCTGAGCAAGATGTAAGTGAACGAAGGTGTTGCTAACAACACTGCCAACCTGTTCATCCATTGACAAGAACTCTTAATGTAATTACTAAAGAGAACTTAACCTCAACTGTGTCTGGTAGATCAACATAAGCCAAACATTCTGTCTTCCCATCAAAATCTTGTCCAACTTGTCTGTAGAAAATGTGTGTGCACATGAAAGCTCATACCTTAACTAAAACTTTGTTGGTCTTAAAGGTGCCACTGGACTCTAAATTTGTTCTGCTGCTTCAGACCAACATGGCTGACCACCTGGATCCATCTTGTCTGTATTCAGCCTAAACTTTGTTTACCCTCAGTGACTTGATCACAGCCTCAGGACACAGAGGTTTAGATAATGAGATGTAGTGCTGGATGTTATTTGTATACTGATAACAACCTGCTCCGGATGATCTTTGCTAAAGGTTTAAAATACATGTTACAGCATTAGACTTAAAATTAACCCTTGGGGCATCTGGCATATCAGATCTTACCTAGCTGATACTGTTATGGAAAATAATTGTTTCCTGCCAACAAGAAAAAATGCTAGGTTACTGACTGGAACATCATGGTCATAAGAACATGAGAGGAGCCATGTTGGATCAGGTCAATGGCCCAATTAGTCCAACATTCTGTCACACAGTGGCCAAAACTCAGGTGCCATCAGCAGGTCCATCAGCAGGGCCAGAACTCCAGAAGCCCTCCCACTGTTGCCCCCCAAGCCCAAGAATACAGAGCATCACTGCCCCAGATATAGTGTTCCATCTATAGCTTGTGGCTACTACCTACTGATGGACCTCTGTTCCATATATTTATCCAGTACCCTCTTGAAGTTGTCTATGCTTGTAGACACCACCATTTCCTGTGGCAGTGAATTCCACAGGTTAATTACTGAGTGAAGAAGTGCTTCCTTTTATCTGTTCTAAACCTACTGCTCATCAATTTCATTGAGTGCCCATGAGTTCGTGTATCGTGAGAAAGGGAGAAAAGTACCTCTTTCTCTACCTGCTCTTTCCCATGCATAATCTTATACACCTCTGTCATGTCACCCCTCAATTGTCATTTCTCCAGGTTAAAAAGCCCTGACCTCTTTAACCTTTCTTCTTAGGGAAGGTGTTCCATCCCCTTAATCTTTCTAGTTGCCCTTTTCGGCATTTTTTCCAATGCTATAATATATTTTTTGAGGTGCGGTGACCAGAACTGTATACAATATTCAAAATGAGGTTGCACCATAGATTTATAAAGGGGCATTTTGATCCTGGCTGATTTGTTTTCAGTCCCCTTCCTAATAATTCCCAGCACAGCATTTGCCTTTTTTATTGGAGTCACACATTGAGTTGACATTTTCAGGGAGTCATCTACCAAGATCTCTTTCCTGGTCAGTTACCACCAGCTCAGACCTCATCGAGGTATATTTATAGTAAGGATTTTTGCCTCCAGTGTGCATTACTTTGCCCATGCCCACATTGGACCTCATTTGCCACAATGACACCGATTCACCCAGCCTCAACAGATCTCTCTGGAGCGCCTCATAGTCTTCCCTGGTTCTCACCACCCTAAACAGCTAGTCACTTCATTGCTTACTCCCAACTTGAAATAATGAACATTAAAAAGCACTAGACCTAGAACCAAGCCCTGCAGTACGTCACAGCTTACCACCTTCCACTGCGAAAACTGCCCATTTATACTCACTTTTTGTTTCTTGTTAATTAACCAGTTTTTAATCCACAAAAGCACTTGTCCTCTTAGCCCATGACTTCTGAGTTTACTTGGGAGCCTTTTATGAGGAACTTTGTCAAAAGCTCTTATTATTCCAATTATGCAGCAGCTGCACTGGTTACCAATTAGTCTCTGGATCCAATTCAAGGTGTTAGTGTTGATCTTCAAAGCCCTCAAGAGTCTGGGACCCTCATTTTTATGGGACCGCCTCTCCGGTAACAACCTTCCATGGTCCCTTCAATCATCGTTTAGGGGCCTCTTGCAGGCGCCTGGCCACAGGATGGCTTGGTTAGCTGTCACCAGGAAAAGGGCTTTCTCAGTTGTGGCCCCTACTCTGTGGAATGCCCTCTCTGATGACACCCGTGCCCTGCTGGACTTGTTTAGTTTCTGCAGGGCATGCAAAACTGAATTCTTTAGGCTGGCCTTTGGAGGGTAACCACATGCAGCCCTCAGACTTCAGTAATGTGTGTGACAAGTTCCCTGCCATCTTCGATGGGACACTCAGCCGGTACACAGGTCCCTCGGTGCGGCCTGTCCGCCTCAAGGCCCAGAGAGTTCCGTTTGTGCTCAAGCCCAAAATTGAGGCGTAACTGGACCGTTGGGTGGTGCAAGAAGTTTTAGAGCCGGTTCCCCATGCCACCTGGGAGACCCCCATCGTAACCTCAATTAAGCCAAACAGGGATGTCGCATCTGCGCGGACTACAAATGTACAATCAACAAGGCTCTGAGTGACCATGAATACCCAGTGCCTGTGGTCAGCCATGTCCTAGCGACATTGGCAGGGGCCAAGGTCTTTGGTAAATTGGACTTGGCCCAAGCATACCAACAGCTCCTGGTGGACGAGCCAACTGCTGAGGCACAGACCATTGTCACGCACCAGGGTGTTTTCAGAGTCAAGCGGCTGCAGTTTGGGGTAAGCGTGGCCCTGGGAATCTTCCAGAACTTAATGGACTCTCGCTTGAAAGGCATCCCTGGGGTCCAACCCTTCTTCGATGATGTATTAATCGCCGCCCCCATGGAAGAGGACTTCACCACCCGCCTACACACCATGCTGTAGTGATCTGACTCTGCCGGGCTAAAAGTGAAGTGGGAGAAATGCCTCCTGGGAGTCACCCGTGTAGAGTTCCTGGGGTTCTCCGTGGATGCAGATGGCATCCACCCGGCCCCCGACAAGGTTCACGCCATCACGAATGCACCCACTCCCACGTCCAAGGCCGAGTTGCAGGCTTTCTTGGGGCCTCTGAACTTTTACCACTCCTTCCTGTGCCATAAAGCTGCACTCATGGAGCCCCTCCTCTGCCTGCTCAACAAGAAGGCCCTGTGGGTGTGGGGCTGGCGGCAGGCCGCCGCTTTCCAGGTCATGAAGGAGCTACTCGTGTCGAACGATATCCTTGCCCATTTCGACAAAGCTGCCGGTTGTCTTGGCATGCAATGCTTTTCTTTATGGCATCAGTGCTGTCCTGGGCCATTGGTTGCTGGACAGGAGGGAGGTGCCGGTGGCCTACAACTCCCAGACCCTGTTGTCAGCCGAATGGAACTACTCCGAGATTGACAAAGAGGCCCTTGCAATCATGGCGGGAGTAAAAAAGTTCCACAATTACCTGTATGGCCGCCCCTTCACCATCGCGACCGATCACAAGCCCCTGCTCAGTCTCCTCACACCGACCACCAAATGCCACAGATGCTGTCACCCAGGGTCTTGTGCTGGTCCATTTTTCTGGGGGGTTACCAATATGCCCTGTAATACCGGCCAGGGAAGTCCATGGGACACGCAGACGCTCTTAGCCGCCTCCCACTCAGCTCTGTCGACCCAAATCTGGCCTCTGCACACCAAATCCTGATGATGGAGAACCTGCCAGACTGCCCTCTGCACGCTGTGGACATTTCCCGCCACACCACCAGGGATCGTGTCCTCTCCTACGTTTTGGACTGGGTGGTGAGGTGATGGCCCACGGATCGGGTGGGCCCAGAACTCACAGCATTTGCATCCCACTGAGACGAGCTCTCAGCGCACAAGGGGTGCCTCCTATGGCATAGCCGGGTAGTGATTCCCCCACCACTACGTAAATGGGTTTTGGAAGTCCTGCATGAGACCCACCCAGGAATCATGAAGATGAAAACGCTGGCCAGGAGCTACGTGCGGTGGCCAGGAATGGACAGCGAGATCGAGGCCTGGGTACAGCATTGCCAGGCCTGCCAAGAGACACGGCCCGAACCTCCGAGGGCTCCCATTCACCAATGAGAGTCTACACACCGTGGGCATGGGTGCATTTGGACTATGCCGGCCCATTCCAGGGGCAGTTGTTCTTCCTCCTGGTGGACTACTACACCAAGTGGCTGGAAGTCGTACCAGTCACCTCTACCTCCTCCCGTGCAGCCATCCAGACCCTGAGACAGATTTTTAGTACACATGGTCTACCAGACGCGGTCATGACCAATAACGGCGCCACCTTCACCTCAGCAGAGTTCAAGGACTTCTTAGACCAGAACCTCATCAGGGCCATGCGGTCTGCTCCATTCTACCCGGCTACCAACAGACAAGGCAAGCGAATGGTGCAGATGACCAAGGAGGCGCTAAAGCAGCTCACC